TTGATATTTATGTATGACTAAAAATTAAAATAATAATTTATTATATTCTTAATGGGTTATCGGCTAACCCAATAACCCAATATTAAAAACCATATCGAACCAATAACCCAATAATTTTTTTTATAAAACCATTAAGTAACCGTTAATCCAATAACCCAATAACAATAAACCAATAACATTTTTTTCGGTTCAGTTTTTGCACACCCCTAGTCTGGCCTCTTTTTTTTTTTTTCTAAAATCAATAGCCAGATCAAATATAATCACAACTCAACAACTACATAGAAGAAGAATCAACCTAGCTTTGTTGTTTTTTCTTTTTCTATTATCGCTCATATTCACCCAACAAAATTGGCACATGCAAAAGTGAACTCATAATAGTTTAGGTGCTTGGTCAATAATATTTTATATTTTTTCCAGAGTTTAACATTCAAATATGTTCATAATTTAAAAAAATTAAAAAAATAAAAAAGCATATTCATTCGAAATTGTTCACCAAAAAAATCAAAACAACTTCAATTTGTAGTAATACCACACAACTTATGAAAATTATTTTTCACTTTGAAAACAAAACTACTTTTTATAATTTCACAATAAAATATGGTCAAACATCCAATAATTGGCCTACTACTGGTTTGAGGGACTTGATTTTTGAGGTGTTAGAGTCATGTGACTTGCACAAGAAATGGGGTCTAATTAAGTTTTTAAATAAAAGTTTCACAGAAGGATGAAACTTGCTAAGTTTTGAATATATGAAGGATGACTTTTGTTCAATAGGTTAGTTGAAGGATGTACATTAAGTTTTAGGTATAGTTAAAGGATGTTTTTGGCCAAAAACTCATAAAGATGATTTACAGTGTAAAAATACTTTACATCATCGATGAGTATAAGTCATATTATTCCATAAATTTTTGTTTTAATTGATTTTGGTTCGAGTCGCCTATATTTTTTCTATCTTCCTATTGAAATCTTAAGATTGAAAAGTATGTTGACTCCTTCTGCGATAATAATAATAATCAAATTCCTACTTTTGTACTTTATAATTGTTTCAAAATCTCGAGGGGACCTAATTTCAAAAATATTAATGTTCGGTATCTGTATTGGAGCCCCGCTAAATTTGAAATGCGCACTCCACGATTCATTCTGGGATGGGTCTCCCAATAAGATTTTCTCTATACCTAGGATTCAAACCTAACACGTCTGATTAAAGGTGAAACAGTCTTATGCAACATAGATAACTATAAAATGATTTAACTATGATGTTTAAAAAACTCAAAAAGTCACTTAACAAGCCAAATATCTATTTTATTTTATAGGTTGCTTTCTAAAAAGAAAAAAGAAAAATAGCCTAATTTTCTTGAAGGTGTAAGAAAAAAATTGAACAATCGATTTCATGAACATATGACTTTGCGTTGAAGCTGTAATACCAGATAAGATTTATGACGAAAAATACGAAAGTGCCTTAAATTTGCCGCAAAATACAAATACGTGGCAACAATTTTTAGCTTTTCATGAGTAAGCAAAAAAGACTTTATAATATAGTTTAATTAATTTGTATCACACACTTAACACTCGAGCCTTTCCACAACATGATGTTTCAATTTAGTAGTGTAGAGCCCTGACCTCTATTATTGGATCTAATATTCTTTCCAAGTATTATTCAGGTCCCATCCTTCACATAAATAGAACTATTTTATGATAATGACATGATCATAATTCCATCTTGTGACAGATAATCAATTAATTGGTCGTAATTTTCATAATTATATCGAGCTTATAATAATTTGCCAACTACGTATTTGTTTGAACTAATTATGTGACACCCATTGATGGAGGATGAGGTAATAAGGAGGGGTGTATATATCGGGTTGATTTAGATTTTTCAAATATCAAATTAAATTATTTGAATTTTTAAATTTATAAATCAAATTAAACTAATGAAAACTCGGGTTTTTCAATTTTGGGTTTTTCCGGATTGGTTCGGGTTTTTCAAATATCAAACCAAACCATTTGTATAGAATTTTTTAAATTTATAAATCAAACCAAACTAATAAACCTCCGTTTTTTTTGGATTTTCGAATTTTTCCGGCAACATATTTATACAAACATATAATTAAATTGTACTCCAAATAATTCTTTAGTCCAATCAAAATACAAATATGAGATGACTGATGACAATAAAATATTCAACAAAAAACAATACTGAAATCGTATAAATTAATATTGCAAATTAATAAGTCAAAATGAAAATGATCATAATTTAAAAGTACTAATTCATGCTAAAATAAGTCTAATAAGTATTTAATTACATGATTAAACTTTAAAGAAAAATTAAAATTAGGTTATGTATTTTAAAGGGAAAAAGGTCTGAAATATATCCGAACTTTGACCAAAATTGTTGTAACGATACCAAACTTTGGAAAGGACATTTTAACCCCCTGCACTATTTAATAGGGTATTTTAAAAGTATATATGTGCCCACGTGGACATCATAAATATTGCATAATTATAAATAGTAATGTGTCCACGTGGGCACATATATACTTTTAAAATACACTATTAAATAGTGCAGGGGGGTAAAAGGTCCTCCATAAATTTTGGTATCGTAACATCAATTTTGGCCAAAGTTGGAGTATTTTTCAGACCCTTTTCCCTATTTTAAATGTCTAAAACTAAACAAAAATATTCAAAATTATTGTCATTCTTAGTGATAAATTAATTTTATTGTTAGCATTTGTATTGATTTTATTTTGAATTGAGCTTTATTAGAATTACTAGTATCTATGGACTATAACCGTTATTGGACCATTCAAAATTTCAAGTCTCAAAAAAATTGAAAAAATATGTTAAAAGTTAAAAATTATGAAAAAGTATAAGTAATATTTAGAAATTATATCAAAGTAAATATTTTTATGTATAAAATAAAAATTTTAAAAATTATATGTATAATGTTGAGTTGGCTTGATCTAGGATTGACTTTTTTTAGTTAAAACCAAACCAATCCAAGTATAGTAAAAAAAAAATTCCAATACTAAACCAAATATTAGTCAGATTTTTTTCTGATTTAACTCAATTTGCTGTTTGATTCGATTTTCGATTTGATTTTGTACATCCCTAATGTTATGTGTCAATTATCCCTCATCAGATAATTAAATAGAGAACCGTCAAAACGTTTATAAGCTAAATGGGTTCTCCCACCTATTAGACTAGTTTTTTAGATCGAGATCTTCTCATTGGCCTATAACATCAAGTAAGACAAGAAAATTTCTAAGTTGACAAGCTTTTGAATATGAGACCTCTAGAGTATCTCACATTGAAACAAAGCAAAAGTGATTTCTAAAGTAGCGGCAAGTGAAATAGGAGCATCCTAAACCGTGAAAACTGAATTGTGGGTGAGATATATTCATTGATAAGAAAAAAAAGAAAATGTGAACAGAGATAGGATTGATGAGAAAATAGAAACGTACGTAATTTCATAAAATCATGTAGTCTGAATGATATACGAAGAATACAAGTTGGATGACAGAACATGAAGAGGAATATAAATAGCTTTATAAGACATTACTCAAGTGCTTAATGTATACGCGCTTTTGAGGCTTATTTTAGTGTATCTCGAAAGATAAATCCGTAGAGAGTAGTGGCCCATTTTCAATAATTACTTCCTTTAAATTCTAACAATCATGTCTTCGACATAGGAGAAAATGACCAACTTTGTCTTCCTTAGCTAATTCTTCTATCCTCTATGAATTATTAGCATTAATTCAACAATAATGTGCCTCATATCAAAGGACCTAATTGATTGATTTTAAATATATTTTGGACATTTCAAATTAAATTTAGTGTTGGACCAAATTACAAAAGTATATATTTTCATTAAAGAATCTAGCTTGTAAAGAGTAGTAAGCTAGTCTATACTTATGTGAGAGAATTATGACTCTTTTGACTTGCAATTTTCTTAGAAACTAATAAACTTTGTTCCTCCACTAATTAATACGCGGTTATGACTTGTTTACGTATATCAATTTGTGTTCATATCTCTAGTGATACTCTAGAAACCCCTAAAGATAATGCAAATACTTATTACTTAATCTAATGCAATGGGGTTAGACATGTTGTGTCAAGAATTTTATCAATGATTTAAATTATATATATTGCTGGTGAGATTTTTTAATGCTATTAGTTAAATGTATATTACTCTCTATTTTTGTCTCAATTTATCTGAAAGTGTTTGATTAGTAAACAATTTTTTTTTTTAAAATGAGGATTTTTGAAATTTGTAATCTAAATAACCATAAATATTTGTGGGGTTATAAAATATTTTATTGAGAGTAAATAAAATGTTTACAATCGGTATTGCTCCAAAAGTTTGAGAACATTTTGGGGAGCTTACCTCTAAAGTTTGGAACGATTTAGTGTGGTTTGAATGAAAATTTCAGACTTTAAGAGTCTCATATATATCACTTGTGTATATACATATATATCATATTATATATCATATGTATGGTATGTCTGGTCAAATTTTTGGAAAGCCAAACTAAAAGTGTTAAAAAATAATAATCAGAAAGAACTTATTTTAGTTCAGATGTTTGGCCAAACTTTTAACCCAAAAAAAAGTCTTTTGAGTAGTAACATAAGTTAAAAAATATGTAGATTTTACACAAATTTCATATTGTTACGAGCTAATTACATTCTATTCCTACTATTTTTTAAATTTGGTGGAATCCAGATACATCCCAAACGTCCCGATGCATCGCTTTCCAATTTCAGATTCATCCCAAAACGTCTTGATACATCGCGTTATGGTTTCGGATACATCCCAAAACGTCCTGATACATCACGTCCCAGTTTCGGATACATCCCTTAACGTCTTGATACATCGTGTCTCGATTTCGGATACATCACTCAACGTTCCGATACATCGCGTAAAGTAATGTATCCGACCGATACATCGTGTAAAGTGATGTATCTGATTGATACATCGCGTAACGTAGGGTTTTTTTTAATTTTTCAAATGATAAGGAATATTAAAGGATATAGTAAAATAAGTTGTGTATTGAAGTAAGTTTTCCTAAAAAAAATGTTTTTACCTAAGAAAAAAAAACTTTTGGCATATTGGCAAAGCATAGGATACTACTCTGATATTGGTAAAAGAGTTTCAAATTGATTAATCAAACACAAGTTACTACTTAATAAAAGTACTTTTTAAAATAAATAATTTTTAAAAATTTAATCAAATAGACTAAAATTTGTATATCGTTGTCACTTGTATATTGTATATTAATTATATGTAGGTCACATGTGTTTCATGTATCCATGTGCTCAATACATTCATATAACCTTAGAAAGGGATGATTGGCAGGGATAAGATTTATCAAAATTGAAATCTAAAATCAAAGGGTACACATATTTTTCCTTAAGTTGCTACAAATTGAACAAGTTTTGTTATGTAGGTTAATTAGAAAATGTCTTGTAATTAAAACTCCTAAATTATATATTCACGTGGTGTATAATTTTCTATATTATCATAGTAGCACTAAAATAAATAAAGGAATTTGTAATAATTATTAAATGTTAATGATATAATTATTGCTATATTATATTTAGCAACAATAATAAATATAGATATTTATAACTAATACTCTATATAAATACCACTAAAGACTTTAACAACTCCAAATACAAAGATTACTCAATTGCCGCTAAATATCAAAATTGAAATCTAAAATCAAAGGGTACACATATTTTTCCTTAAGTTGCTACAAAATGAACAAGTTTTATTATGTAGGGTAATTAGAAAATATCTTGTAATTAAAACTTCTAGAATTATATAGTCACGTGGCGTAAAATTTTCTATATTATTATAGTAAAGTAATACAAACATAGGATTTTGCGATAATAATATAATCGTCGCTATATTATATTTAGTGACAGTAATAAATATAGTGTTTATATAACCAACACCTTATATAAATGCTGATAAAGACTTTAGCGACTCTAGATACAATGTCATTAACTCAATTATCATTAAATATTTTTGCGACAATAAATATTGTCACTAAATATCTCTTGCCTAAAATCCACTAGAGAGGTATGAACTTAAATATATATCCATGATTCCGTGAGTGACTCAACATTCCCGATACAAAGGATTACTAAAAATGGTCTCTTGGATTAGGTTGTTAGGTTTTTCACTTTCAACATAGTTCCTTTTTTCTGCAATTTTCCTAATTAATCATGCAATTCTACCTCACCCCACCTAAGGGATATACATTTGAACTCTTGTTAACGATTTCGTTTGTTTAGATATTTTTCTAGGGGATAATTTTAGAGATCTTCCTTTCAGTTTGAGTTCATTTCACTGAAGTTCTTTGGGATTGACAATATTATGTTTAACTTTATTGATTTATAACAACTCAATTTACATACTTGTGAATAATATTTTAAAAAATGTGACATGAACTATAGCTAGTAAGCGCTCTTTAATATACTTTATTATTTAATTAATTTTGTAAATATTATATTGTTTTAATATCCTTTTGGAAAATGTTTTTTTTCACTTTTTATTAAAATCTATATATTCACATATTTTTATAAAGGGCATGTTAGTCACGTTGGTTTTTTTTTATATATTATTAGTAAGTATGTTAATAGAATTGTTGCAAATAAAGCAAAACAAGAGAGATAGATATAACATCGTAAATCACAAAAAATATGAGTGAAACAAAACCAATCCTTGAAAAAAGTTTATGAAATTATCTCTATTTTTAGAGTGTTTTGACAAAGGTTGTTACAAAAAATATATTGTATTATATAATATAATATGAAAAATAGTCCCAAAGAAAATATAATTGTAAAATGTTGTTATATATAGATTACGTATGTTGTATGAGAATTCTGACTTAATAGGTTATGAATTTATTTACAAATTTGAATGTTTATTAATTTGGTAAAAAGGAGTATTTTGGAGAGGTTGTCCGCTGGATTTGAACCGACTTAAAAAGGGTGTATTCGGTACAAAAGAATTATTTTTTTTATTATTTGCATGTTTGTTCACACAAAATTTTTAAAAAATATTTTCTTCAAAAACTAAATTCCTTAAAAATGGATATAATGACTTCTTTAATGAAAGTATGGAAAACAAGTTTATAAGTGATATTTTATATTTATTGTATCGTCCCCACCCACCCAACCCCGCCACTACCGAGAATCCACTCTCCATCCTATGATATTTTGCTTGATTACATATAAATACTCCTGAAATAATATTTTTATGCTCACCTACCAACTTAGTTTTTTTTTAAAAAAAACATTTCTTATCAAAATATCCTTAATAATAGTGTATAGTACTCCTCTTAAGGTTTTCATTAATTGAATTTCTTTACTTATTATTAAGCCCACAATTAATTAAATGAAGATTTCTTGTAGCTTTGGTTTTCATTGTAGGTCCCAACAAAAAACAATAACGAACTTCACAAGCATAAGGTGTTACAATAATAACAAATTCCAAGTGGCAAATGGCACTTCCCTCTCCTCTTTATATATAACTACATACCTTTTTCCTTCTTTGTATTAATTTATTATCAAACAAAAAAATTATAATACTCCCTAGCTCTATAAGCTATTAACAAAAAAAAAACATTATTCCTTTACAAAATTAGTTTTAATATAAAACCTCTCTATCCCTATATATGGGTTTAAGAGACATTGGTGCAACACTTCCTCCTGGATTTAGATTTTATCCAAGTGATGAAGAATTAATTTGCCATTATCTCTTCAAGAAAATTGCTAATGAAGATGTTCTTAAAGGTACTTTAATCGAAATCGATCTTCATACATGTGAACCATGGCAACTTCCTGGTAATTTACTCATTTCTTCATCTCTTTCTCCTTTTTCTTCATCTCCTTCTACGAATTATACGTGTTTTTCTGAAGTTATCGACAAATTATATTTGTTTAAGGGTGGAGCTATCTTATTTTTGTCGAAAAATTATATATGTATATGTATTATATGTTGATCTCGTTGATACTTATGTGACATGTAAAAACGAAAAAAAAATTGAGAGATAGAAATTTGATTATCATTACACAAAAAATAGTGTAGTGTCATTGATTAGATGAAAAAGTTGCAAAAAAGTTACTTTAACGGACATTTTTCTTGAATTTTTTATGGTACAAAAGAAAGAGATACTCTATAGACTATATACTTTTTTTTTATTCATGGGAAGATAATGCTAAACTATAATATATGATTACGACTTTGAATTTCTTTTTCCTAATTAAAAATATCTAAGAATCTTTAGGACTTTTTTATTATTATTAATATTTTCTTTGATGTTGTGTCCTCTATTGTGTACTATAGAGATAAGTTTGAAAGAAAATGATGGTTGCTTTGTGGAGTAAATTATAATAAATTCAGGTTTTAATGGATTCGGTTCACGGAAGTTTAGCTTTTAAATAGGAGATTTTTCAGAATATATAGCACTTGATTTTAGGCTTTAAATTTGATAAAACTTTAACTAATCTCTTTTTCTCTCTCTTGCGTAGTTCTTCTATATTTTCCTTGTGTGACTATCTTTTAGACATGGGTGGGATGAAATTTGATATCAATCGGTTCTATACTATGTTGAAGTGTGATCATCTCATCTAAAATCTTAAAACGTTAAAAAGAACATACTTTTTATTATTTAATGGTATACTCAACAGATCTCAATATTACAATGAAGCTTAACTTGCAAAACCATGAATCAATAAGTTACAAGCATTAAATTAATCCTATTTCATTTGGTAAGGAGAGGTGGGAGAAAGATTAGAGAAAGTATAATGATTTTTTATTTTTTTTACATTTTTTAGCATATCAAAATGGTCTAGAGCAATAATTTTAAACTATGGATTTTGATATTTAAGCTACAAAACTTTCAACGAAGGTCGTCTCTTCTTTTTTAGAAATGAATTTTGATTTTCGAACTTTAAAACTTTTAATGGATATCACATCTTCGTCTTAAATTTGTTTCTCAAATATCAAGCTAGCAATTCAATGATTGGATTCAATTTAGAAATGAATAATGAACTATGAAAGAATTTTATGTAACATTCTTCTTCTCCTTCTTCAATCTTTATCTCGAAAATGATTTTTGCATTTTAATGGCGGAACGCGTATCTTTATCGTATATTTGTTCAATATATGTCATGTGTATCAGTATTATATACATGTCCATGTGACAATACATAAGACATACAATGATATACGATGTACGTAAGTCAATTATATGTCCCATAATGAAATGAGTGGTGTGGTCTAGCTAGTGGTAGTGGAATAATTGTATATCGTATATGTACATACATGACATTGACATATAATGATATACAATTATTTCAAGTGTACGTGTATACAATTTATTTTTGAAAATTCCATCCATGTTCATAAAGCCCAAGTTTCTAGTAGGATCAAAGTGAATTGTAGGGAGAACAAGTTTAGTTTTAAAGATTGTGAATCTAATTAATTTCTTGAGATCTTTCTTCCTTTGGACGGAGATAGACGATAATAAAAAAAGAGAAGAAAGAAAAATCCCCGTATAATTTGATATATTGGAGGTTGTATATGTTTTGTAAAAACAAATAAAATTTTACCATGTTTTGAAAATGAAATATTGTTACTACTTACTATTACTAGTTATGGTAATTAGGGTCCTATTTTAGTATATTCTTGAAAGTTTGAAAGAAAATGATGATTGCTTTCTGGAGTAAATAACATTAATTCAGGTTTTAATGGATTTGGTTCACATGTAGATTCTGCGGAAATTTAGCTATAAAAATAGGATATTTTTGTGATAGAGAAGAAAAGATGTTTTGTATTTTTTTGATAATACGAGAAGAAATGCAACTTAATATAGTAGTATTTATCGTATAGTTTTTAAATTTATTGTTCATGAGTATTACGCGGTTCATGATGAATCAACTCACTTATTCCAAAATCATATTGAAGCTTATGAAATACAATTGTGACGCAACA